ATAAAACTTTTATTTCGTTCAAGGAAACCATGTCATTTGATGAAACAACACTATTGTTTTAAATAATATTTTTTAAAAGTTTCTCTCAAAATTTAGTAATTTGATTTGTTTAATTTGCATTTTCTTGGATTTTTTAATTTTCTTTTGTTTGATTAATCATTATAACATTTTGTTAAAAATGTAAAAGTAATTATCACTGGTTTACTACATTACATTAATATTCATCGCATATCGAATGTTGCATTGTTTCAATATCAACAAATTATCCAATAAACAACAAGTAAAAATTATTTACTCTTATTTGATGTTTGCTAGGTATATTATAATATACTGTGAACATTATAAGGATACATTATATAAGCATGAATTGTAAGAACATCGTTGGAGTCATCAGAGTTACCGCGTGCGCGCTCGATCGTCAGGTTAAGCAACAGTTTAATGCGGTCAGGACATAGATGTGACCGACGGTATACACCGCTTGGGATCGAAATTATCGCAGGAGGATTCATGAAAGTTTGGAATGTGTTGACAACCTTCGATATCTAGGAGTCGATTCTGTATCTTGAAACGAAGTGAAAATTACAAAAGTGAGCAAATATACTAGAATATCCGTAATTTCATTGGTCAGTGCCTAGTGAATGTGCTCACTTTTGTAATTTTCACTTCGTTTCGAGATACAGAATTGATTCTCTAGTAGTAGTTTATGAGACATGAGAAAATTAGGAATATAAGTATATTTTTGTAAACATTATGATTTTCTCATTTTTCACCTTCGCATGATAATTCTCAGTATTTGATTACTATCAATATTTAACAGTGATTTTATTATCAGTATTTACCAGAAATTATGTACTGGCCAAAAAATTACTGAATTACTGGTAATATTTAATCACTAATAATTTTTCAGTATTTCTTAGTATGATATTTCTATAAGGGTAAATTCAAATAATTGAGTGTAAACACTCAGGCCCATATTCTGAATTCTCTTTTATCGATAAAAGTGCCTTAAATGTAGCTTTTCAGCCAATCAGGTGGCTCTTAAGCCCTTTTAGAGGCACTTTTATAAAAGAGGATTCAGAATATGAACCTCAGTATTTAAGTTTTTTCTTCCGTAAGAGTTGCAGAAAATATAACCTATTAAACTATTGGCGAAAAACCGATTATAAACTATTAGTTTTTAATATTTTTTAATTGTTTTCCGCCAATAGTTAAATAATCAGTCTTTTTTTTCAATAATCTGTAAATAATTAATACATTTAAAAGAAAAGATCTTTTTATTATATGTCCAGTAAGCAATCTGCGCGCAGACGGGAGCGTCCCAGATGCGCACATTGACAAACAGACACAGCTAACCACAACGCCGTATGCCTAGAGATATTCTAGAGATTCTATAAACAACGACATATGATTGGATGTGTCCGTTTGCCAATGTGCGCATCTGGGACTCACTCGAGCAGACTGGCGACAGGATCTGTCGAATTCGAGCAGGATCTATCGATAGATCCATAGAGGGTTAAGGTGCGATTTCACGCAGCGAATAAAAGCTGGCGTTTCACTCCACTCCGTCGTTGTTCAAAGCAGCGTTTAAAAGCTGTTCGCTATCACCTGTATCCTTTTCATGGAGCGAATAAAAGCTAGCGTTTTATCCCCACTTCAGCATAGTTCAAAGTAGCGTTATAACGCTGTTCGCTGTCGCCCATATCCTATTCACCACGTTTAACCTCCTGTATAAACTGCAATAAGTATAAAAATAGAGTGTTAATCAAGATATATAAAATATTATAGATGTACAGTGGCGATTATAGGTGAAGTTCGAAGACGACATATAGCTGCTGCAAGCGATGTATTTATTAAAAAC